TCCTTTCAGTTCTTAAAGAAAACTTGTGTTTACTTCTTTGCGACGAACGCCAATGTTTGTAATTAATGCGCACAGTTACACAAATGTGGCGCTCCTTTGTCCTGAGCATGATTAATTGCCAGGTAGTGTGTTTCATGTTTCTGCATATATACATGTTATGACAGCGTTGACAACAGTTGACAGACTTGCCAGCATCGTCAGGCAGAAAATCATAATTTTTCTGGTATATCAACACACATTATTCTACTGCAACTTCAAATCAACAATAAGTGCTCTTTTGGCGCATCTGTGACGATGACAGACCAAGTACAATGGTCAAGCTTGTGATTTCCTTTCAATAGTGACTGTCTGCAATATTTTATATTAACTTTTAGTCTGTGTGATCAATAAATAAAACAAGACAGCAGTGCAAGTCTTCGACGATATTTTCATGAACGTTTTAGTATGTGAAGTATAAAACAAATTTTTACGCAAAATATATGACTAAGTCACATAATCAATCATCATAAGATTGTCTTGCTTTCATATCCTCATACAGGCATGCACATTAACTCTTCATACAACAATTTATCTTTATTCTTGTAAATCAGATCCTCCCACGCGGAAAGCCTTCATACACGCCACTGCCGTAATCAGCAGGTTATGTGATAAAACAACATTCCCAAGAGCAGAACAAACCTGACAACTACAGCGCCAATTCTGTTCTAGATTTCCCGTTTTCACCAGTGCCTACTCATAATCAGTTATGACGCAAATTGTGTGTAATTGATTTCTGACGACCACACCGTGTGGAGTTCTGCAATTAGTTTTAGAAACAAAGCTCAAGCGTAAATACTGTGCTCACAGGAGCTTCAAATGAATGCATCTCTTTCACTAATTTGCTAAACAGAGCGAACAATTCAAATGGACAGAAATGCACATATTTATGGCAAGAGAACAAAGAGACGAGATTTCAGATGATGTAAAATGAAACTTGTTTTCTGCTTGTTCAGTTGCTTGATACATTCAAATCTAACTCACCAAATTCACCGCAATTACAATCAAATTAAATGTGAAAATATGACTGAAAGAGCTCTTTGGAGAACTGAGGTTTTATGTACTCTGTTAAACGTGATTTATATTTGTAGTAAAACTCCCAGAAACGCGGATCGCTGTCGACACGTTGGTTTTGCATTTTTCAATCTCAACAGAACGGTAAGATGTCTGGTTTTCATTCGGAAAATACCTAGTTCAAATTCCGGCAAGGGACCACACATCACAGCGTTGGTCGATTTGTTGTTCTGAGTTGTTGATATCAACGTTTCGAAGAAACATACTGGGCTAAAGATGGACACAGCGTCGTCTTCACCGCCTTATGACCTTCAATTGTCACTCCGTAGTGTCTCATTGTGACTTCACGCACTCTAGATGATATTACTGTCGACTCTCAGTTATCATATACTCATAACTTTTGTAGATGATATAGCGTCGTGAAATACTCTAATTAAATAGTATGAAAATGTTAAAAACAATATTTAATTGTGGTCAGTAAGAATTTTATAGGCTTATTCTCACGTGAATTCTGAATATTTTCGTATATTGGTCCACTTTATCTTGTGTTATCCTGACAGAGTATTGAATGCCTGTGAAGTAGGAAAACAAAAATTTGTTTTAATAACATAAATCTTGCCTCTGGATCTGTTAATTAACTAACATGGAGCAGAGTCCTTGAAGTTCGTAGTCGCTCATTTGCAAAGCTACACGAGTAAACAAAACTCGCTATCGAGAAAAATAAAAAATAAAAGTGTTAGCAAACACTTCATTTTACGCTTCATTTATTTTTACCCAAGAATAGTTGGAAGATAAGTACTTTATTAACAAAGAAAGAGTTCAATAACATCTTTTGCTTCTAAAGTTATAAAGTAATGCTATTTTGGACTCATGTTGTTTATGTACCCATATAATATCAAGAAACACTGCATGACTCATGTTGTTATGTTTCTTTCTTCCCTGCCGGGGGTTACGGTGGTTTCTTTATGGTCAGAACTTAAACCAGAACCAAGTACAGTAGATTCCGTTCAATTGAGCCATCGGTTAATCGGGGCAGCTGTTTATTTGGGACAAATCTTCAGTCAAAGAAAGAATCAGGACTCCAAAACCGAAAGTAACTGTTTACATGAACATTAGCCGTATAAAATAAATTCTGTGTACATTTTTGTCATTTTTTTAAGCAGAGTTCAAGGTTTTATGACAAATGTAAGATAAAACTGACGTACGAGAAGAACGCGCCCAGCTGTCAAGAGGAATATAAAATAAATTATTTCTGTTATAATGAGAACTCGGTAAAAGTGCGACTGGACGTTTATGCGTTCTCTATTCTTAACTGCGTTATTACTTTATGACTGAGACGAACTCTCAGACACGGGCTGTGGCAACAGTAAATTCTGGAGCTAAATGAAAGGTCTTCACGAGATTATCACGGCACTACAGCAAAGAGAAGCTGTTGTTTCAGATACAAAGAATACTCATCTCCGCACAAGTTGCTACCATACTGACTGGTTTATTTCCTAGTCCAACTCGTACGGTTAGAACTTCGACCATGAAATCGTCTGCCCTCTATTTGGGAGGGGAGTTGTCCCACTCTTTTTCGTTTTTGTTTAAAGTTTTTTGAAATAATTTCTTCTAAATATTTAAAATTCACTTCTTTCCTCTAAGGAAACAGACGCCTCTTCATTACAAAGATCAGTTGGTTAATGACTTTTTAAGAGAAACATCAACATGCAGTGTTATTGAATGGAATGGCAGGTGGTACAGGGAACGTCACGTCCTGACAGTGTTAAATTTAACTTCGGCGTTCGCGGATGATCCGCTCACGAATGTTTTAAGCTATTCAAAGTTGGGCAAATACTGCAGTTATCATCTTCAGGGTGAATGTTGGTTGGGCGGTTTTTGGAAGCCATAGAACAGGCAATAGGCGGTGAATGGTATACGACGGATATGTTTGGTGAAGCAGGCACCCAGCATTCAAGTCTATATAAAGCCATACGCATCGCTTTTGCTGCATAGAATTTTAGTAACGTCTGCTTTTAGTTTCCCTAGTGACATGCGTTTTATTGTTATACAGAACAGATAATATCGATTTAAATTGGATGTCATGGCGCATACTGCTGATAAAACATTTAAAGTTCCTCACATGTTGAACTGTTTTATCACGTAAAACAATTTTCGAACTTACAGGATACTTTCTGTGAATATGATTATTCCATTTCTTTGTTTCTCAGGCAGAGCGTTCATGCTATATTAACGAATTTGCGTTAACATCTGGCGTACTAGCGGGTCAGGCTCTACTCCCTGTTCTTCAGTGAATGAAGCATCGAGTCTGTAAGCAGAGTTCCGATATCCCATACAACAGCGTTTTACCTGTTGGCGTTAGGTATTCAATACCCGATCCATGTGTTTAAACTGTAACGTGATTCGACATCACAATGGATTTACGGCTAGAAGGAGTATCACAATTCCAGACTGGACTGAGCTCGACAACTGTGTCCCATTCCACCCATTCCAAAAAAAGTCTGTATCGCCTCTGAATTGGAATAGGAGTAACTGCTGATATTGGAGTTTCAAGTCCTAAGTTAATTGATTATAAACATTTTAGTTTAGGAATAAAAATTAAAATGTCATTTTTATTCACGGAAATAGAGTGCGAGCGATGGACTGGATTTGTCTGTGTTGCATGGTTTTCTTGGACTATTTCGTCGTCTAGGTGTTATTAAAACCACAACGTTTCGGAGGTTACTTGTACTTTTATCGTCGGTCTGGCCGAGCTACTTTCGAACCAGGTTCGTCCACCTTTCACCTTAAGACGCAAATAGAACGGACTTCCGAACCGTTTTGGTTCTAAAAATACCTAGACTATGGACAAAGTACAAGAAAACTGCCAATGTGTTGCACCATCGTAACGATTTCGATTAATGTCGTTTAGGATATGAGTCTGTAATGGACTGTTGTGAACACGACAATGAACTTTCTGTATTCATAAAAGACAGGGAATTAATGACCAGCTCACAAACTATCAGCTTCTGAATTAGACTCTGATGCACGTAACTGGTTATTTTAGTCATAAAACTCTTAGTTCGTGTTCAATTAGGGTTTCATTATTCTCAACTTTCCCCGTGGGAGGGCGGCCAACATTACTGACTTGCACAATCTGCATTAACCAGTTGGCTATTTATATAGACTAAGCACCCCGCGGACCACCATGGGAAATTAGTTTTTTGACAATAAAAAAGGGTGGACTGCGATGGGAGAAGTGTTATTGCACGATGACGGTCCTTCTACGTCGTAAGATATTTCTTTTGAACGGATGTCCACTAAGACTATTGTTATACGTATTTCTGATATACTGCTTCCCTGAGTCCAACTGCGGTCAGCCAATATGTTTCGTCACATTTCAAAAACTGTTTTGATGCTGTTTCCTTACCAGGATAAACTGTCGATGCTGGGTTGAAGTCGATCGCCAATAAATGACTTCGAAAGGATGAAGAGTCCTTGAGAGATAGAAGGAAAAAAAAAGAACTTTTTCAAGCTTTGAAAAAATACTTCTCTCAATTCCAATTCGTCGAAAGTGTAATAAAAAGTTCGTAACAGTTGCAGCACCACGTGTTTGTTAGTTTTTTCGTTTGTTGTTACTGTCACGATGTGTAGGAGTGTTTCCTGCTTCCTTCGAACTCTGTGGGAATTTTAACAGTAACTGGAGATGCGATAAACTTTATACAAACACACACAAACACGTCTCCTACAGCCTTAGCAAAAAAAAAAATGATGGCGGTACGGAAGAAACAGCCCACAAATCCTCTGCGCACACGTGTACACACACACACACATATGATCTTCTTATCACGTATTCGATAACATCTTAACCGCGTTTCGTTACTGTAGTTACATGAGACTGAATCCCGTAAACAAACAGCTGTTTTAATTGGTTTTTGTGGGGTTGTGTAGTGCAGTGCCCCCTCACTTACCGACTCTGTGGCGCAGACTGCCAGCGGAATTGTCTGCTGCCTCTTGTTGGATGGAAGCACCAGGAGTGTGAGCTAAATATAACTGCCGACTCGGATCACATCACAGGGTGCTGGTGGCGATCCTGCAACAAAACAGCACCATCTGTACTGTCACAAGTCAGGTCATTATACAGTCTGTATCACCATGCAGCTCACTCGTCTGTTTGATAGCGCAGAATACCGCTTGCAGGTGTACGCTTATTATGCTGTATCAAGATTAAATGAAATTGTTTACATATTACACAGTCCTGCGGATTTGTAGGACTCTGGTTGTTGCTGGGTTCAGATCTCACTTCGTGCAGTATTATAATATATAATTATTTTTCTCGAATATGATTGCTTCATGGCCGGTTAATACAAAGTTTCATATGCTGTGCTATTTAAGGCAGAGTGTCTAAGAGACTTATTTTATGTCTTGATAAATCGTATTTATATTACCAGAGCACAAGTTATTAAAACTTTAGTGTGTTGGGATGTGAAACGGCGAAGCAAAGTAACGTCTATATCGTAATGAATGTTACATGGAAACGGCTCCACTCGGCCATACAGCACAGCACAGCACGGCACGGCACGGCACGGCAAGAAGCGTAATTAAAATCGTCGGTAAAAGTCTATATTTTTTTTTACTATCTCCTAAATATGCTCTGTGGGACAATGTTGTAGGAAGCTTTGTGGTAGTTTAAAACCACGACTTAAATACCAATTTAATGTGATGCCAGATGAAAATGCATCGGTCTGCGGTTGCGGGAAAGTTCTTTAACTATAGATCAGGGTTGACAGTATTGAATACAAGGGCGGATATTTTGTTAATGATTTTTATTGTGCAATGTAACGACGCCTTGTCAACTGGGGGAGTTATTCAGCGTCATCATGATTATAACTAGATAAACTTCAGTGCTTGTTTGTTGGTAATTCTCTGGCAGGTGCTGGTAGGGCCATTTCGAAAATCGAGTGGGAAAGATGCGGGAAACAATCTAAAGTGGCGTATCATTTTCCTACAGAAACTCAGGAAAACCATGAAAAACATCAGTTATAACAGACAGTCACTTGAACGAGATTCAAAATAGGGCAGCTAATCCCCGAACAAGTCAGTCGTGTAACGCTGTGCTAATCTGCTCCATGTGTTCTGTACCTGCTTTGCGGTTTCGTCGTATATAAAAATGCACGTTTCAACAAAATATGTGTACACGTTATAATACGGAATATTAACCTTGTGTGTACATACAAATTTTTGCGAAATTCTGCAAGGGATCCTGAAAGAGACAAACATTTATCGGTGTAGTGAACGTGAAGTACTTTTCCCCTGAAAGGCCTTTCGTTCTTGGAAGACCAGACATCTAATCTAACGTGAAGTCTTGTTATGACTAGGAACATCAGACCAAAGGTTTTCCCACTTGTATGTCCAAGCGACTCACTTGGCCCATCGCTCTGATGACGGGGACAGCATGCACCACTGAGACGTTGGTCAGCTTCAACCAGACTACTACCGCCGTGAGAACCAGAAAACTCGCGTAACGTGTTCGTCTTTAGACTGTTCATGTTCGAATTTATTGACGTAAGCATCTCACCCTACGCTTACTACATCAACGTCTCAAAAATTACTTACGACAGAAAGTCGATACAAAATTATATCTACATTTTGCAGATGATGTAATCGGTTACAGCAGAGACTTTATAATATTATTTCCTTCTGACCTTAAAGTACGAGTTTTCCTGCAAAGTAGTTTCTTTTTACAAATTTTGTAGCGTTGAAATTGTACGACATTGAGACAGCTGATTCAGTTTTTATTTAATGCATCAGAACACACGCGTGTTAATTCCAAAACTCCATAAATAATCCGAGAAAAATCGGTATCTGGACGCTACAATAATGGGTTGCTAGGATACCATTTTTGAAAACTACGATCGAATGTTATGCTATATTACCGACAATGCATTTCTATGTGTTACTAATGAGGGCTGCGACAGACAAGATAATTGGGGAAAAAAGAGAACATCTTTTTTGCGAGAGGAGTCCGAATAAATTAGCATGGAAGTGGTTTCTTTTGTGTGTGTAATAGCATTTCTTAATGTTTCGAAAATATCGGAATCCAAGATCTCTGTGCCAGGTTCCGTACTTCAGACGTAATTTAAAATTTAACGACTGTACAATTTTTTACGCTTAAATACAGCAGTATGAACAAGTAGGTAACGTACGATCAGCGAAACAATAGTATCGTGCTACTGCATCCAGAGTTTCAATTCGTGAATGCTGTCCTTTGATGCTGTTTATAAGTGCATTTAAACATGCGAAGCGGAGAGCGAAGAGCCCCAGAAAAAACACCTGATCAAAATCAGGCCAGCGGTTGTCGAATTTTAAGATAGGCCTACAGCATAGAAATCGCTTTTGTGTTTCATTTTTTCCCACAGATTTTGTTCGAAAGAAAATTCGCTCCATTATTTCATTCGAGATACTTGTGGAAAGGCATGTTGGTGATCGTATAAATTTCCACTTAATGTTGTCCGTTTTAACCAAAAATGGACTGTGTCGACAACTTTTAGTGAAACTCCCTAATATCAGACTTCACTAAAATTCGCTCAGTGGTTCTCGAGTCTTTATAAATGCGGACAGAGAGGCAGATGGGCGAAACATGGCGAAGCCAAATTTGCGCATTTTTATAATTCCTTGCGGACGCCTAAGATTCACACAATTGGTGTCTCGAATTTTATTTAAATAGAAGTTTAACTATTTGATGATCTTCTAGATAATATTCAAGAATTCAGTCCTTACCGCAAACAAAACGCCACATTTCACCGTTACAAATATTATCTGGTTAATGCTGTTTGAGAAAATTATCCCTGATTATACCGAGAATCATACGAAATCCATAAGTTAAATACAAAATGTTACTGATTGTTAAAGCAAGTGCTACATATAATTACCAATGGGCTCTAAAGGGCTGAATAACATAACGTTTAGTGTAGCAAACACGTCTAAAATAATAATAATAATAACAACAACAACAACAAATGCTGTTTTATGGACCCTGTTCCGCAACTTCTAACTTCTGGTACAGAACGTAGAATATGTCTTTCTACATTGAGGTTGTAAACAAATTGTAATGGAAGAAAATAACTACAGATTATTTTATTGTTGTATTAACATTTCTTATTCCCAGTTCTTTCCTTATAACTTCATCAAGTCTGTTAGACATTATTCTCTCTCCTCTGTCCGTCTGAGGGCATACATTTCTACCTCCATTCAATTTATTTATTCTTTCGATGAGGTCAGATATTTGGATCCGTGTAACAGCACTGGCATGGCTTAAGTTTGCAGTAAACAGCACATGCATTTCGAACGGTGTTTACGAAATTCAATTTTTTCGCTAATGACGTAACATATTCACAGCGGGTACAAATGTCACACCTGTAGTGAATATTCGGTTTGCAGTGAGATACTGACGTGGAATTTCTCTATGGCTCCATCTCTGATAAATTTTTATTATCTACTCAATAATCCACATATATGCTTGAGTTGTAAAAACAGCGCCATTGCTAGAGAAGTGGAGTACTATAGTTTTGGCTTACGCATCTATTCCTGTGTGTCTGATAATGATTAGTAATTAATTCTGAAATGTTTTATGACAGGCAGAAATGGATTTTTCTTTGCTTTCCCCTGTAATGTGATTTTGCAGAAGGGATGCCATTTCCATATGGCTGTTATTTATTGATAACTAAAATCAGTGAGCCGATGTTATAAATTTTAATTAAACAATGGACGACAGTGTGAATTGTGACCTATCATGCTTCCCTGTCAGTAGAATCCACAGTTGTTCACAAAGTAGGTTCACTGTTCTCTGTAGAGGATCTTTATTATCATATTTCATTCAGTAATAAGTGCTAATGGCTAAAGTATTACAAACCTTTCAATGGGTGGAAATTAAAGTAAAAAATAAAAATACGGGTAACACCTTTTTCAGTATATGAGGGGATGTACTTTATTTCATCTGAAACAACTTTTTATAAAATTCAGCACAGACGTAAGCCGGAGGTATTATATCGCGCACGGCGTTCATTGTAGATGAGTAATTTCTCTGCTTAATGAGGTACCAAACGTACATCAGGAAGTTGTGAGAGAAGCAACGATTTTAAGTTTGACGAAAAATTGCTCTATACTGTTATTAAAGCAGATCTTAAAATTTTCTTCCAAACTTAAACTCTGAACTGATATGTTGTAGATGGAACGTAATTATATTAGGCTATATATCAGCAGACATTGAAGGTACGTATGTATTCTAATGGCGCTGTTGGCCACAAAAGCCGATAAGACGTGCAGTATTTATTGACATATAATATACAGTAGATCAGAGTGTTAGACACATTTTCGTATTGCATTGGTAGACAATGGATATGCCATAAGTGAAATTAGTCAGTGATTATAGTTTAAGTTTTTCGAAGCGGTTAGATTAAATACCCGTTATTAAATGACACCGCGTATCGGACCTTCAGTGTAAACAAACCCAGGTCTCCGGAGATTGAGATGACCATGATAACACCGCATTCAGTCCCACAAAGCCACACCGTGTTCGATATCTATTGGATGTTGTGGGCAAAGCTATTCAAGGGCTGATTGTATCATGCGTCTCTCATTGTTTCTTCTGGCCACTTCTGTTCCCCCATCCTTGATCGTTTCACCAACATAATCGATAGTCAGGCGACTCCATGGAAGTGCTGTGTTCAACAACATGTCACAAATTTCAGATACAAAGAAATGAGAGTTTGAATGGATTTTCTCATTCTATGCCAGTATTGTATGTTAGTGCGAAGACCAGCACGTGAGTTGCGCGCCAGGTTTTACCTTGCTGACTTGAAATATTGACCTAAAAGCGTCGAGTGTAGCGTTATTTCCGTACTGCAGTCTGGAACTTTCAGCAGCAACGGTCTGGGTATGCGTGAGTTCAAAAGCAAACACAAGTCACTACTTCACCCAAGTATCAAGAGAATTCTACAGTTTCATTCCCGTCGTTCTGATGGTGTGAGATGCAACACGCCAACAACGAACACACACACGAGCACACATGCACTTTTCAATCTCCGGTTCGGA